GGCCCTTTCTCTGAAAGGGACACATCCCCAAAAAAATTCCTTTTTAAATAATTTACAGACAGGATCGTTTTAGCGCTTGCTTTTGAACTTCTTTTTTTTTGAAACATAAAATAAATGAAACTCCCCGGACATTTTCCGGGTTTAAGATTTCCCATGCAAAATTTCTAAAAAAATTTTTTTTTACTTTTTCCCTTTAAAAATAAATTTAAACCCCCCATGTAAATTTTTTTGCCCAAAATAAACTGACGGACAGACTTTCAAATTATTTTTATTTTTAAATGAAATGCCTTTGGTATGATTTCCCTTTTTAAAAAATTTTGATTTTACATATTTTTTATTTTAAAAATCAGTAAAAATTTTAAAAAGACCCTCGAAGTTTTTTGTTGTATTTTTTTCTCTTTTTTGAAAAATTTAAATAAATTTAAAATAATTTTAAAGGGTAAACCCTTTGATAAGGAAAAGAAAACACTTGCAATTAAAAAATTTCCCAAATGCAGATGTCAGAATGCAAAGTAAGAAAATAATTGATTTTAAAACGAACTTTATTTTCGAAAATTTTGAGCTTTAATCTTTAATTTTCAAAGGGCCGGGAAATGGGTTGTATTAAAAAATATATTATTTTTAAAATTTATTGTGGATTAATACCTGTTTTTAGTGAATTGGGTGCTGTCTTAACTGCAGGGCTTACAAGCTTTTTCCCACTTTTCTTGTCTTTCCCATTGTCACTGTATGGTATTTCCAAGCTGTAATAAACAAATAAGAGAAATATTTTTAAATATTATAACCCCATTGTATAATAGAATATTTATCTTTACATCAATCAATTGATGACTCAAAACTCTACATTTAGTTTTTTTCAGGAAGATAAATTAACACTTGATAGCATTCTGTGACTGTATAAGCCTCTTCTAGCAAAATGAGGCAACAATTAAGTATTAATGTAGTTCCAACTAATTATATATTAAGAAATAAACATAGAAATGAACAGGAGCCAAACAATTCCACATAAAGCTAAACTGGAAAAAAAATAATCAATATTTATACAAAAGTATCAATAATATTCTATAAACTAATTTTATAAATAAATTTATTTCATATAAATAAAATAAATTAGAGAAAAAATGCTATACAGTTTCATTACTACACATTTTAATGTTTTAAAAATCTTGTTTACTCATTTAACTCCATTCTGACGCGTCATAAATGTTTTGACACAGCCCCCAACAAACGAAATCAGAATACCGGTGTAGCATGTAGCACCGGAAGTGGTCACGCATGTATACTCGCTCGAAACAAGATTTCTACCTTTTTTCGGCATGACCACCATGTAAAAGTTATATCTCTTGATAGGCTATACATTTTCACATAAAACAATAACAAAGTTTTATAAAATACTTACCTTTTTATGTAGTTATTTCGCGCTAATTAAAAGTCATCAATGATGGCGCCATTACGGCGAGTCTGTTTTCTCAAATGCTTGCTTCTAAAAACCAAGCGCCAAATGAGTTGGAATGTTTACAACGCAGAAAAAAAACTTTCAATTTATGAGAAATAAATTATACTATAAAACCATACCAAAATTTTGTTAATTTTGGCAATATTTTGTCAAATATTTGAACGAAAGTACACGAAGTGTGCCGGAACTGCTCACGGTCCGGAATTGGATCATTGACTGTATGTCATTTGTTTTTCTTCACAATTTTATGACATATTGCATTTTTCCTTCACAAAATGAACAGGCCCAAGCCCCTGCACAATTTTGACAAAAAATGCCCTGCTGGACATGCGCAGAGCATCAACTTCATGCAAACAATAGTAATATAGCCAAAACCCTGTGAGTGTCTGTTACCTGGGAAACAATTAATTACCTGGGACACAATAAAATGTCACAATCAACATGAGAAAATGCATTTAAAAAACAATTAGATGTTATTTTCATTTGTTAAACGTTATCTTTTTAAACAAATAATTCACAAAGGCGAAGTAACTTGGGACGAATCAACTATGTGGGTCGACAAAACACCAAACAAAAATTTCATAATCTACTTAGAATTTTCATACCAGGGAAGATTTGGACTTGATTTCTCCTTTTCCGACATGATCTGTCACTCGCAAAACTGCCTTAATTGATAAATATTAGGTGTTCCTAAATTTTCTTCGACTGGCTCCCAAATTCGCGGGAAATTAATGCTATCTGGCTGTCGCTGTATTATTTCTGCTAAGCGTTAAGAATATTAGGAACCATACCAGTTCTCGCAAGTTGACAGGAGAATAAAATCTCGCGTGACTCTTAAAATCCAAGATGGCGTCAAAATCGCTGTTTGTCGATTTCAATTTTGTTTGCGTCTGAAACACGTAAAATAACAATATTTTCTCTAAATATTTAGTATATGCAGTGATGCCTTATTGCTCCACTATAACTTGAGTATACAACAATGTCCGATTCAGACACAGAGTTTGAGAAAGCTCTGACAGAGCTGAAAACTTTGCAGTCAATGATTGACTATATTGAACAGCATCTCAAAGGACTTCGAACACAGTGTGCTCCAAATGACGAATTCACGCAAAAAGAAATACGTTTGACAGAGGTAAAAACAGTTGTAAATTTTCATGATTTTGAGGAACCTGTTAAACCCACTAAATAATTGGTATTTGAATCACAAATGTTTTGGTGACAGCATTTTTCTGTAGGAAATTAAAAATTCTTCAACATGGTTGCTTTTGCCAGTGTTGCATGGGAAAATTTGTTTTAATTATTTAAGTTAAGACTTAGCATGCCATTTTACATAAAGTTGACATAACCAACAATTCATTATAGGGACATCAAGAGACGAGTATGAATGAAAATGAGAAAGTAGATGGAGATGGCCCTATACCAACTTGTTACTTGTCAACTTCACTAACATTTTAAGAAGAAAATAACTAACATGAAAGAAGGCAGAAAGTCAGATGAAAAAATTTGTTTAATTTTTTTATTTTACATTTTTCGTTTTAAAGGTGTCATTCGATAATTCATGCTTTCAATTGGAACACCTCAATAATTATTCTTCAGCCAAAAAGTTGTGATTGTTCTGTTTTTGGAACATCCCACAGATTTTCATTAAGTTATTAGTAATAGGGCTGGGGCGAGTATTCGAGTACTCGGATAATCACGAATCAAAATGAAAAATCGAGTACGAATATTCGTCAATCCAGAGATCATGGATTGCAATTTTATTTGTTTATTATACATTCGCTGTTTTTTACACTTTAAATGTAAAAAAAATCAATTTGCGTATGAATTATGCAACGATTACCTAAATACAATTTGCTCTTTAAAGACAGGAAGTAAACAAACATGCACCATGATGCTGAGCTAGGAAGTCATTAGTTTCGAAAAAGGAATCACTTTATCTTTATTGAGCACTTGTTTTTAAATGAAAATAAATAAATATTTTTAGTCGCTATGTATAGATCTATAATGACGTGACATGTATTGAAGACTGTTTTATTTTTAGGAAAAACGCAAGTTAATACGTCAGTGTGACATTACAGTACATGTATTGGCTGAAAAAGAGTCGTGCCAATATAAAAATCCCACCAGCAAAATTTACTTCCAATTTTTGGAAATACTTGTCTTTTCATGTGATTAGACAAGTTTGTTGTACCACCTCTTTAAGTCAATTTGCCATGGCATGTTTTACAAACTGCTTATTCCTCAATTTCATTGAAAGAAAATTTTGCTGGTGGAATTTTATATTGGGGCAACTCTTTTTCAACCTAGTTTATATTTGCATTGCATATAATATGTTTAATGAATAATTAAATTAATGTTTAGTATTGTTTTAAGAAAAATTAACATGTTTTCAAAACTAATGTTCATGTTTTTATGGGTGTCTTGATAACCAAAAGATTTGTGGTTCGATTTGTGAATCGCATGTGCTGAATTGTGGATCAGATCGGATCGTCACTTACCCGACGATCCACACCCCTAATTAGTAATACGTTAAAAATGACAGCGCCCATCTAGAAATAACACTGAAAATTTCACTGACATATTTAGGTATTGAAATCTCTATTGTTTTTTATTTGATTTCCAATTAAATATACATGATATATTTTAAATCTACAATAACTAATTATTTCGAATAAACTGTGACTTTGAACTGTTTCCTGATTGGTCATTTATTTTTAGATTATTGTCTGGCCAATTTTGGACTATTAGTCATTTAAGCCTATGCTCAGCTGGCATTCCTACATGTTCAATTGTTGTCTAGCTGTCAAGTTTAAAATGAGTAAGATCCGATAAGTAATTGTGAAGTCTATAGCCGGGCAAGCCAAAGCAGGACTGCGAAGATAGGTTTAAAGCAATTTTATTAAAAATAAGGTACTTTATTGAGCAGGGTGTTCACTAGCCATGAAATTCTGGGGGTCATTTTGACTAAGTTAAACCGACTACAAGGTCAAATCCCCATTATTTTAACAAAATTTGACCCTCCAGTTAAAATCCTGAGGGTCAAATCAGCCTTTTGGAAATTTGAAGAGTCAAAGAATCATTTCAAGGGTCAAACGGACACCCTGATTGAGGTTAAGTACAGTATGAAATGAAGAAACTGACTAACAGTACAGACATAGGTTCCATCTGCTCATGAGTCATTTTTGGCAATCCTATGTGAGGTATAAATTAGACATTTTTCAATAATATATTAAGGACATAAAGGAATTTGTTGACATGTATGTTTACATCACTAATTACATTTTTACAAAATTTGAAACTTTATGTTATATTTAAATAATTACTTTTACAAATATGTAAATTCTGGATAATAAGATATATCTCATAGCACCCAGACCCTGAAGAATTAAAATGTACATTTAACAACAAGGAAACTTAATACAAACATCATTGTACACACATGACAGATAAAAGTGTTTTGTTTTTTATCATTTTAGAATTTAGAAAATTTTATACAATTTAAACTTATATATTTTGTGTTGATAATTTACAATTTCTTGGGAATAATAGATCTATTATTTTTATTTTTTACCTTCATTAGAATTTTTTTTTCAAAGTTAAAACTATACACATCAAAGATTGAAAATTGAATCAATATATAGATTATGACTTTGTTTAATGTCATACATGTCTAATTTTGAATCACAGAAATAAAAATCCAAAGCTTTTTTACATAGGTAGGGTATGGGGCACTTCCTTTAAATTTTGGAGCAAAAATGCTGTACTTTTGGCCATGTGCAAAAGTGTATCACTAAGAAAGGACTATTATTAAGAATTTTTCTAGGGAGAAGAGGCACAGAAATCTAGACAGTCAAATACTTTTTATTTGCAACTTTTAGTACAAGTTTATAAATTTGTCTTGTGTTATTGTCTTGATGACTACATTTGTTTTCTATTGTAAACAATAATGTACTGTTGATATATTACATGAATGATGTATGGCAATTAATGAAAATGAATTTGATATTTTCTGCATTTAATTTCAGGGGAAACTGGTGTTATATGTCAGCAAACAGATTATCATCATTATTTGAGTATAATTTCAGGGGAAACTGGTGTTATATGTCAGCAAACAGATTATCATCATTATTTGAGTATAATTTCAGGGGAAACTGGTGTTATATGTCAGCAAACAGATTATCATCATTATTTGAGTATAATTTCAGGGGAAACTGGTGTTATATGTCAGCAAACAGATTATCATCATTATTTATGTATAATTTCAGGAGAAACTGGTGTTATATGTCAGCAAACAGATTATAATCATTATTTATGTTTAATTTCAGGGGAAAATGGTGTTATAATTATGTCAGCAAACAGATTATCATCAATATTTGTGTATAATTTCAGGTGAAACTGGTGTTATATGTCAGCAAACAAGTTTTCATCATTATTTGAGTATAATTTCAGGGGAAAATGGTGTTATATGTCAGCAAACAGATTATCATCATTATTTATGTATAATTTCAGGAAAAACTGGTGTTATATGTCAGCAAACTGGTTATCATTATTTGTGTTTAATTTCAGGGGAAACTGGGTGTTATATGTCAGCAAAGAGATTATGATTTTTTTGTGTAAAATTTCAGGGGAAATGGTGTTATATGTCAGCAAACAGATTATCATCATTATTTGTGTATAATTTCAGGGGAAACTGGTGTTATATGTCAGCAAACAGAGTATCATCATTATTTATGTATAATTTCAGGGGAAACTGGGTGTTATATGTCACCAAATAGATTATCATCATTATTTGAGTATAATTTCAGGGGAAACTGGTGTTATATGTCAGCAAACAGATTATCATCATTATTTGAGTATAATTTCAGGGGAAACTGGTGTTATATGTCACCAAATAGATTATCATCATTATTTGAGTATAATTTCAGGGGAAACTGGTGTTATATGTCAGCAAACAGATTATCATTATTATTTGTGTATAATTTCAGGGGAAACTGGTGTTATATGTCAGCAAACAGGTTATTATCATTATTTATGTATAATTTCAGGTGAAACTGGTGTTATATGTCAGCAAACAGATTATCATTATTATTTGAGTATAATTTCAGGTGAAACTGGTGTTATATGTCAGTAAACAGGTAATCAGCATTATTTGAGTATAATTTAGGGGAAACTGGTGTTATATGTCAGCAAAGAGATCATCATCATTATTTATGTATAATTTCAGGGGAAACTGGTGTTATATGTCAGCAAACAGATTATCATCATTATATATGTATAATTTCAGGGGAAACTGGTGTTATATGTCAGCAAACAGATTATCATCATTATTTGTATATGATTTCAGGGGAAACTGGTGTTATATGTCAGCAAACAGATAATCATCTTTATTTGTGTATAATTTCAGGGGAAACTGGTGTTATATGTCAGCAAACAGATAATCATCATTATTTGTGTATAATTTCAGGGGAAACTGGTGTTATATGTCAGCAAATAGATTATTATCATTATTTATGTATAATTTCAGGGGAAACTGGTGTTATATGTCAGCAAACAGATTATCATCAAGAGCAAGATAACCTCTGATGCCTTACATGATGAACTAGTTGACTACCCTAATACACAACAATGGCTCTCATGTGTTGGTCTGCCAGAAAATACTATCAAGGTAATTTTACTGTGTATTTCTAGTGTGTTTTTATACCTGTTTGGAAACAGGATAAGGTTCACCTAATTTAAAATTTCTTTAGTCATGAAATTAAGTTAGTAAGAAAACCAAAAAGCTGGTGACAAATTGCCAAATTATGAACTTGCTAAGTTGTCAGAAATTTGGGGGAAAATGCATTAGGAACACATTTGTAAAAGTAGAGCTGTCATCGATATCGACAATATCGATGTATCGTTGATATTTTTTTGTCGATCAATAATCGATACACATTTAAAAAAATCGATACTTTTGACTTATAAATTAAATGTCTAGAAATTATACAATTCACCCAAAATATATGCAGAAACAATTATTTATATCTAATGTTATGCTTTTGTTATATAGTGGAATTATTTCATAGCAATGGTGATAAAAAATATTGTCTGGAAAAAATCATGCAGTGGACAAGACACTGTACAGAACATGTTTTTGACTGAAATCATTGAAACAGGTATGAAAGTGAATGACAGACAAGTGAGTATAGGATATTATCAATATATCGGTGTATCGTTGATTTTAGTCACTTGATATCGATATATCGTTGATATGCTTTGCACTGAATCAATGACAGCTCTATGTAAAAGTGACCATGAAATTTGTAAAGAAGGGAAAAGACACTCTTTGATTGTCTTGAATTTCTAAGAAATATCCTTATAAGATTAAGTGATTTGGAAGTTTATGTGTACAAGCAATAATAAATGTTTCCAATGGCAAAATCACTTATCAGTCACTTTTGTGGTTTCTAATATCACTGGGGAGTGGGGATGTAAGGTAACACTACAGCAAATAAATGAGCCGCGTCATGACAAAACCAACATAATGGGTTTGCGACCAGCATGGATCCAGACCAGCCTGCGCATCCGCGCAGTCTGATCAGGATCCATGCTGTTCGCTATCAGTTTCTCTACTTGTAATAGAGTTGGTAAGCGAACAGCATGGATCCTGATCAGATTTCGCGGTCTTGATCCATGCTGGTCGCAAACCCATTATGTTGGTTTTGTCGTGACGCGGCTCAAATAAGGGATCCATCTAACTGTAAACACAACAAAAGAGAATCTGTAATTTTGTCTCCTGTAACGAGGCCATCAACATGGCAAATAAATCCAGGCATTGAAAAAATATTTTCAGAGTCTCTCGTCCTGCGGGATTAGTAGCCTCTAAATCCAATGTGCAGGCAACATTTTTCTACTTGTCCTGGATCAAGTTCTCTTAAATTCTACTTATAATTACGAGCGGACGAGTGGAATTTTCGATCTCTAAAATCGAATGTTTATGGTTGCACTTATTTGCAGTGAATAGTAAGTACAGTTTTTGATTTCCTTTGATGGAAATTCGTTATAATTGCTCATATTGTTTTTAAAATTTTCAGGGTTTGATGAAAGAAGAGGAAAATCTGAGTCTGTATTCATTATTAGAACTATCAGAGACTGACATAAAAACCAAACTTCTGAAGCATAATGCCAGTGCAGAGGATGCTAGACGGTTAAACCTGTCTCTACGTAACCTTAATATAGCCACACGTAAGTATTATATTACAATGATAGTTTTTTTACATCAGTGTTTGGACATGAATAGCATCAAGAGAGGCTGTCCTTAACTGTGTTTTATGATTTGAAAACAGGTCGTTGAAAGCAAAAAAGTGGATTATGATTTGATATGTAGCAATTAATTTCTGTATTTTTTATATTATTATTAGCATTTTATTTTTAGCTTGTTCATTCGGAAGAAAAAGTTAAGCTATTTTCATTGCTTAAACAATTTTTTTAAGGTAGCGGTATGAAACTTGGAATACTTATATTTTAAGGATTTATGTCCCTTTTTAACACACGAGGATTAACACTGCATGCGTTGCTTTTTTAATAGGGATGTCAAGAAGTAACTGTTGATTGAGTACTTTATTGAATGTCCGTGTTTGATACTCAAGTATTCAGTAGAAAAAATGAATCGCATCATTTGCTACTTGTTAATAAATTGTAGTAGTTGTTCTAACAGCCCCTTATGCCATTAACTTGATTTAATTAAAGATTAGTAGAGTACATAATAATATGAGCCGTGTCGTGACAAAACCAACATAATGGGTTTGCGACCAGCATGGATCAAGACCAGCCTGCGCATACCTGCAGTCTGATCAGGATCCATGCTGTTCGCTATCAGTTTCTCTACTTGCAAAAGAGTTGGTAAGCGAACAGCATGGATCCTGATATTATATATGTACATGTAGTAGTAATGGCTCAATTTGTTACAGAGCGTGAGTCGTCGGGTAGTAACAGTACCTCGGGTGACAGTGATGTCGATCTGCACTGGACGAACCCAGAGTCCACATCGTCCTATGATTACCTAGCACGTAGAAGTCCACGACCTTCGACATCATCGCTGTCATCGTCAGATAATTCTACGACAATGAGTGCACCTGCTCAGACACACAGTACTCCTCCGTCACCAGTGCCTCATGCACATAATGCACACAATGAGAGACTACGATCAGTAGGGTAAATATTATATCCTCATTCTACTTCCTGGTTCAATAATAAGTACGATGGGATTTGTACAATGCTAAGTGTTGTTGTGTCTTAGCTTGGACTTTGTTTATTTATTCTTATGATTGTAATGTAGTAATTTGTTTAGATGTTAGTATGGGAATCGCTAGATAAAATAAAATAGCACCTGTTAGTGGTTATAATGCACAAAAAAGAAAACTTTCACTAATACTATAGTAATGGTTTCCATTTAATGTTGTATTTGAGAGTTAACAATGTAATATTGAGTAAAAATTTTAAAATAGGTATTTAAATTTTATAATCATGTTTGTTAGCAAGTTAAAGTCATAATGACCAGTCCATTTTGTAAATAGATGCTGTGGTTAGTAAGAATTATATAAAAAGAGTAGCTTTTGAAAAAGTTTTTACCATTTAAAAATGATTTGTTTTCTAAAATGTAAAGTAAAAATTTGTATGATATTAGATTAATCAGTTAATCACATAATGATGTCTTTTTTTTAAAAGGTATACTCCCCCACCGACACCGCCTTCAGTACGCACACCAAAGACGAGGTATCCAATTACCCCACCACCTCATAAGAAGATGCTGTTATTCCCGGAGTATCCTACAATCAGCAGGAGTAAGTCACAGGAGTCACAGTTAGCACATAAAGTACAGGATATAGACCCTGTCAGGTATACCCCAATTATTATATCTCTTTTTGTGGTGGATTTCTATTATTAAAGGAACTCCACTGAAGTCAAGTATTAAATCTCCTTTTAAGATTTATGTTTTGTTTGATGATGGTGTGTACCAAATACTTGTGTGCAAAATTTCAGATCATTTTCACTCCTTTTTTAATTGTGAGAAATGACCCAAAAATTAAAAGTGTTGCCAGCGCTTTTCACTTGAATCGAAATAAGAATGGCATAAAAATATGATTTTCAATTTATTTCTGAGTATATTTTTTTTAATATTTCTGAATTATCTTCTGCATATTTGTCTGTTTTAGCGCCCAGTTGATCTATGTAAGAAATTCAAATTTTATGTTTTTAGGCTTTTGGACCTCAGTGGAGTTCCTTTCAAGGATGTCCACAGAGATCCAAAAATCTAAAACACAGAACTTGAAATTTTGACAAAAATCAAATGGGGCACTAAAAACAGAAAAATATGCAAAGATGAAAAGAAATATGCTCTGAATTAAATCTGTTTTTGTGCAATTTTTAAATGCATATACATATGTAAACCCTTTTCATTTTTGGCCGGGTTGCACTGGTGCAAATCCGGGTTATAGTATGGTGAATGTTGGGCGGCGGGCGGGCGGGCGTCCGGGCGGCGGGCAGGCGGGGAAAAAAACTTTCGTAACAGTTTTCTCAGCAACTACTTATCACAGCCACTTGATATTTGGCATACAGCATTGACATATGGTCCCATACTGTGGGATTTGATTTCAGGTCTGTCGCTCATCCATTTCCTGTTTATCCACTTAGTTATATTAGTTAGATTTTTCGACATTAATGGTCGATCAATGCTAGGAAATTTTCGTAACAGTTTTCTCAGCAACTACTTATCACAGTCTCTTGATATTTGGCATACAGCATTGACACATTGTCCCATACTGTGGGATTTGATTTCAGGTCTGTCGCTCATCCACTTCCTGTTTATCCACTTAGTTAAATTAGTTAGATTTTTCGACATTAATGGTCAATGGTAGGAAATTTTCGTAACAGTTTTCTCAGCAACTACTTATCACAGCCTCTTTATATTTGGCATACAGCATTGACACATGGTCCCATACTGTGGGATTTGATTTCAGGTCTGTCGCTCATCCACTTCCTGTTTATCCACTTAGTTAAATTAGTTAGATTTTTCGACATTAATGGTCGATCAATGCTAGGAAATTTTCGTAACAGTTTTCTCAGCAACTACTTATCACAGCCTCTTGATATTTGGCATACAGCATTGACACATTGTCCCATACTGTGGGATTTGATTTCAGGTCTGTCGCTCATCCATTTCCTGTTTATCCACTTAGTAAAATTAGTTAGATTTTTCGACATAATTATCAATGGTAGGAAATTTTTGTAACATTTTTCTCAGCAACTACTTATTACAGTCTCTTGATATTTGGCATACAGCATTGACACATTGTCCCATACCGTGGGATTTGATTTCAGGTCTGTCGCTCATCCACTTCCTGTTTATCCACTTAGTAAAATTAGTTAGATTTTTTGACATTAATGGTCAATGGTAGGAAATTTTCGTAACAGTTTTCTCAGCAACTACTTATCACAGCCTCTTGATATTTGGCATACAGCATTGACACATGGTCCCATACTGTGGGATTTGATTTCAGGTCTGTCGCTCATCCACTTCCTGTTTATCCACTTAGTTAAATTAGTTAGATTTTTTGACATTAATAGTCAATGGTAGGAAATTTTCGTAACAGTTTTCTCAGCAACTACTTATCACAGCCTCTTGATATTTGGCATACAGCATTGACACATGGTCCCATACTGTGGGATTTGATTTCAGGTCTGTCGCTCATCCACTTCCTGTTTATCCACTTAGTTAAATTAGTTAGATTTTTCGACATTAATAGTCAATGGTAGAAAATTTTCGTAACAGTTTTCTCAGCAACTACTTATCACAGTCTCTTGATATTTGGCATACAGCATTGACACATTGTCCCATACCGTGGGATTTGATTTCAGGTCTGTAGCTCATCCACTTCCTGTTTATCCACTTAGTTAAATTAGTTAGATTTTTTTACATTAATTGTCAATGGTAGGAAATTTTCGTAACAGTTTTCTCAGCAACTACTTATCACAGCCTCTTGATATTTGGCATGCAGCATTGACACATGGTCCCATACTGTGGGATTTGATTTCAAGTCTGCAGCTCATCCACTTCCTGTTCACATTAATGGTCAATGGTAGGAAATTTTCGTAACATTTTTCTCAGAAACTACTAATCACAGCCTTGTGATATTTGGCATACAGCATTGACACATTGTCCCATACTGTGGGATTCGATTTTAGGTGTGTAGCTAATCCACTTCCTGTTTACCTACTGAATTAAATTTTCGACATTAATGGGTCAATGGAAAATTTTTTTCGTAACATTACAGCCTCATGATATTTTGTATACATATGCAACCCGGCCTTTTCTGTCTTTGACCCATTTTTGGTCATTTGCACAGTGAAAATAATTATTCAGGAAAATGCAAGTTATTGGTCAAACCTAAAAAAATAATAATTCAAGCATAAAATGGGATGTGGTGAGTAAGTTTAAATTAATTGTTCTGGTAACATCAAAGTCCACTGAAGTCCCTTTAAGCTTAGTTACTAATTAGTATCAGTACAATACATTCTAGAGAATAAAGAAGTTTATAAGTTCTGGAAAATGTGAATTGAAGCTATATTTCACTGGTTTATGACAAGTTTAGCTAGTAAATCATTTACAGAAAATAGTAATGTCATTGTTGTATATTTTATTTTATAGGTCCGGTAAGAAGAAACACATTAAGGAGCTAAATTTAGGCAGTAATACTTACGTGAATATAGGTGGCAGTCATGACATACTGGCGATTAGACGACCGTCTAACGAGCATGAAACTGGTAGAAGTAGTCGTGGACCGGCCTCACCGGTAGTCAACTCACCAATCCATTCCCCACCTTATGTACAAGGCCAGTTAGCAGATGGTATGTTATTGATATTTTATGGTCAAAAACTTTTGGGGAAAGCTGAGAATCTAAGCTTGTGTAAATTGGTATAAGATGGAGTATTATAGACTAGAGAAAATACAATGATGAGCAACAAAATTTCATTTGTTTCATTTGCTAACTTCCGTGACCTGGTCACGCGTGATAATCACATTGGATATATTTACCATAAGCTGGTTTAGTTACCCCCCTTTCCTTTTGTAACTTGTTTATAAATGTTATTGTTAACGGCTCAAAATTTTGTCATTAAATTGAGACTTATTCATGAGTAGAAGTCCCGATGTGTCAAAATTTTTACACAAGTCCGTTTAACTTTGACTTACCAAAGTTCTACTGTGGTTAGTTTTCTGTCACTCAACCCATTATGATAATGAAACTGAGTCCTTCTCGAGTCACAGCTATGTTTACCTGATCGATGCATGTCCAACTTGGTAAAGGAAGTGAACTCTGAAGTATTAGATTATATATATGATTTGGTTTATACAGAATTTATTTTAGTTCGATTGTGTAGAAAGCTATAAGCTTATAGACACACTTTCGAATCCATTCCTGGAACCAACCAGTACTGAGCAATGAGTGTAAAGTTTCTTGCTCAAGGAAACAACGACTTGACCCTGACGGGGTTTGAACCCATGCGGCTAGCGATCATGAGTTTACTAGTCCGACGCGTTAACCACACGGCCATGCCGCCACACAAATATATATATGATTTATAAAACCTCACTACAACTTCTCACTATGAGACAAAAAGAAAAGTGTTTAAAATAAGCTAGACATTTGCTTTCCTTGAAGATTTTGAATTTTAAGTTTGCAGCAAACACAAAAATTTCTATTGAATATATTGTACCCTTTTGATAATTTTATTGCTATAGAATGTTGTTTGTATTTTGAAGTTTATGATGTACTTTTTGTGTGTTATACAGGATCATTAATGGTGCCAAGTATGATTGGTCCTCATGTGATGAAACATCAAATTAACCACAAGTAAGTTACTAATAGTTGTTATAAATGGCCTCGTTAATCTTGAGTGCATTTTTTTAACCATTTAATTTTTAGCAAAATCAGGCTTTCAAGTACTTCTTTTTGCCACTATTTTGTTAGCTTCAAAATTTTTGTTTTAACAATGCTCTAATTGCTCTACTGTGTGATGTCCAGGGAGCATCAGATTTGAAATCCAGGGGTCTCAAATTTGATCCTTATGCGAGGTGAAGTTTCTCTGTGACACGTAATCTCCAACATTGAGTCAAAAAGTAGTTTGTCTCTTGCCATTGACTCAGACATTATGCAGGATTAGCAACCTGTCACTTGTAGAGAAATTGGTAATCAATGGTTAGTTACCAAGGAAAGCCAGTTTGGTGATTCAACCACTAAGAGGTGACAAAAATGTGTGAAAATTGACGTAAAAACCAACCATAAAAAGAAACGATGATGTTTCGTTTATGATTTTTTGCAAAATATTTAATTTAAAAACTTTAGCCTCAGGGTGTCCGTTTGACCCTTGAAATGACTCTTTGACCCTTCAAATTGCCAAAATGCCTGATTTGACTCTCAGGATTTTAACTGGAGGGTCAAATTTTGTTAAAATCATGGGGATTTGGCCTTTGAGCCAGTAAAACTTAGTCAAAATGACCCTCAGGATTTCATGGCTAGTGAACACCCTGAGCCTTATTCTTTCAATAGATGTCAGTGTGCATTACAGGCACTTTATTGAGTGCAAACTATATTATTGGCATAGTTTAGTAAGAGCCTAAAATGCTTCCAAAAAAAAAACAACAAGAATTTTTAGGTAATACACCAAAGTGTGCTATTATGTATCTTGAATAAATGAGCCTCGTCATGACAAAACCAACATAATGCGTTTGCGACCAGCATGGATCCAGACCAGCCTGCGCATCCGTGCAGTCTGATCAGGATCCATGCTGTTTGCTATCAGTTTCTTTACTTGTTACAGGGTCTGTAAGCGAACAGCATGGATCCTGATCAGACTGCCCGGATGCGCAGTCTGGTCTGGATCCATGCTGGTCGCAAAGCCATTATGTTGGTTTTGTCGTGACAGGGCTAAAATACAAAATCTTGTGAGAACAAACCCCAATTTGCAAATTGATTTGTTTTGTAGATTACTTAAAAAACGACGGTTCAAAGGTAAAAGGTAATAACTGTCATTTTCTAGATTTCGAGAAAAAACGCAAAAAAGACATTGGAAGTTTGTCTTTTACAGATTTGCTGCATGGCAATGACTCAAAGTATGATTCGTACTCCTTCGGTATTGTCCCAGAGGCAACAAGTGACATAAAATCAGCCTTTTTATATGCCCGTTTGAAAAACGGGACGTATTATGGGAACGCCCCTGGCGGGCGGTCGGGCGGGCGGACGGCGTCCAATTTTGTCCGGAGCATATCTCCTACATGTATGGAGGGATTTTAATGAAACTTCATAAAAATGTTCACCACTATGAGGAGCAGTGTCGCGCACATGAACCAGGTCTCTAGGTCAAAGGTCAAGGTCACACTTAGAGCTCATTAAAAAATGCTTGTCCGGAGCAAAACTTCCACATGTATGGAGGGATTTCAATATTACTTGGCACAAATGTTCACCATTGTGAGGCGGAGTGTCGCGCGCAAGATTCAGGTCCTTGCGGCCAAGGTCAAGGTCACACATAGAGGTCAAAGTTCAGATAAAAATATGAAGATTTGTATATGGACCATTTAGTCATCATTTATTGAGGGATTGTAACACAAATGGTCATTATCAAGACTATGGCTGTGATACATATAATTTAGGTCAATATATACAAGGTCAAGGTCACTAAAGATGATGAAATATCCAGATTTGTCCGGAGCATATCTCCTACACGCATGGAGGGATTTTAATGAAATTTCATAGAAATGTTCACCATTATGAGAAGCCATGTCACGTAATGAACTAGGTCAAAGGTCAAGGTCACACTTAGAGCTCATTGAAAAACGCTTGTCCGGAGCAAAACTTCCACATGCATAGAGGGATTTCAATATAACTTGGCACAAATGTTCACCATTGTGAGGCGGAGTGTCGCGCACAAAATTCAGGTCCCTGCAGCCAAGGTCAAGGTCACACATAGAGGTCAAAGTTTAGATAAAAATATGAAGATGTGTATAGGGACCATTTAGTCATCATTTATTGATGGATTGTAGCACAAATGGTAACTATCATGACTACAGGTGTGACACATTTAATTTAGGTTAATATTTGCAAGGTCAAGGTCACTGGAGATGATTAAATATCCAGATGTTGTCCGGAGCATATTTTCTACATGCATGGAGGAATTTTAATGTTACTTTATAGAATTGTTCACCACCATGAGACGTAGTGCCCTGCACATGAACCAAGTCTCTAGGTCAAAGGTGAAGGTCACAGTTAGAGCTCATAGAAAAACGCTTGTCTGGAGCAAAACTTCTACATGCATAGAGGGATTTCAATATAATTTGGCACAAATGTTCATCATTGTGAGGCTGAGTGCCGTGCATAAAATTCAGGTCCCTGCGACCAAGGTCAAGGTCACACATCCTGTGCATATCTTCCCTACTGATTTGTTTTAAGGTTCATTTAACAACACAGTGCCAAGAATAAAAACTTGCTTGCTAGATAACACTTATCCATAATGCCCACATCTCCATCTAAAGCTTTCGTAAACGGGCGTATTTTGTGACTATGGCACCCTTGTTTACAGCAGATATTGGAAGCTTCTCTGTGGAGTCTTAAGAGACTTTTCTTTGCTTCTGCATTTCTTCTGCATTAATCTAACATCAAAACCATAGTTCACAAAAATACTGTATTCTTTGTCTTTACGAACTTAAATCCATTTTATATTAAGCCAATTAACACGTTCTCCATCAACATCGAAGATGGAACATGTACTTTTGTGAGGCATTTTGCATGCTCGATAGATGCATGTATGGAATTACATTCCATTTCTGAATGGCCACTTCGAGAAATCTGTGGTTTATACACTTGATGTGAGGAATATGTTGGACACAGTGAACAACAAAGTGATTGCGATTCTGTCCCCCACATGTATCACTATATAATGTTACTTCTTCAATACAAGATGTCTTACATACAACAGAAGTTACATACAAGTACACATAAGTTCCTACTATGCACGAGCCTCGTTTCCCCTGTGTCTCATCCCACAGATAACAAGTCCCGTTACCATTTCCCAGTTCATAGAAAGACAAATTGTAACCACACAGTTTTCTTTTGTAATAAAGTTCACCAATTAAACTGCATAATGTTGTCAATACAGCCTGGAGATCAAATGCCGACACAAAAAACTTTGGATCTTTCTTTGCGCGTTCTTTATCGGCTGATTTTGGCATTCTAGCATTGCTTTTTCTTTCTTGGTGTGCCTGATATTTTGCTTTTGTTGCCTCATCTAGTCTATCTTATATTCTCAAAGTGGCATACAGATTGCAGATTGGGCATTGATCTTTCTTAGGATGAAAGAAAGACAAGTTATATTCTGTACAGAAAATGTACACACCTTCTATTTTGTCCTTTGCATTTTTCTACATAGAGTGAGTACATTCGTCTTATACTTAAATCTTGAATTAGATACTTCCTGTCAGAGTTTTTTTGTGTGTAGTGTGATTCAACAGTTGAAAAGCTTTCGATGTATTTCTTAACAAATGATCTGTGATATTTCCTTTTACCCCTACATATTTTGTAGAAAAGAAGTTATTACAAAAAACTTTTTAATATTTTGCCCTTATAAGGATTGAATATTTCAATAATATTTTCGTCAGACATAGGGGACAATACGTACATTATAAAAACATAAAAAAGTCATTTTCGGCAAAAATGGCAGTTATTACCTTTTACCTTTGAACCCTCGATTATTATTGTGTGTGTCTATTTCAGATTAATTACCAAGTTATTGTTTGGTAGCACCTGTGATGTATGTGGTAAAACTATATTTAGAGGAAAACAATGTAAATATTGCAAGTAAGTATGCACATATTGTTTTACATTTGAGCCGCATCACGTCAAAACCAAGGTAATGTGTTTGCGACCAGCATGGATCCAGACCAGCCTGTGCATCGGTGCAGTCTGATCAGGATCCATGCTGTTTGCTATCAGTTTCTCTACTTGTAATAGGGTTTGTAAGCGAACAGCATGGATCCTGATCAGACTGCGCGGATGCGCAGGCTGGTCTGGATCCATGCTGGTCGCAAACGCATTATGTTTGTTTTGTCGTGACGCGGCTCATTTTATAAATCATAACCACAGTATATAAACAAAATCACTGTACCCTGTCTTGTGAGCCTATATAAATTCAATGTGTACCCTGTCTTGCGAGTAAAAGCACACATTACTTCCGATCAAGGTACCTGTCTTGGGAGTGTGTATATTTTAACTTGCACCTTACTTGCTATAACAGGAAGTAGACTTGTTTATATACTGTGATAACATTTGACCGTATTATGTATTACTATTTTAAAGTGGTGAATAATAAATCACTGTCACAAAAGATTGAAATTCACCATGTGTATTGTTAAGGGATCAGGGATGTTGAGGTTTTGGTTTGCTGCTTCTTCATTTTGGGAAATTGCAGTTTTTTTCTTTATCAAAAAGCATAATTTGATTGAGTTGCATTTTCAAGATACTGTAATTGTCCTTTATGTCTTTAAGCACAATATTGTCAGCCCTATCTTCTTGCTTTATGTGACTGTGTTAGAGTAAAAATTAAGATAAGATTCATCCCAAATTTTGAGCTTAAAGAAAAGACTGGAATATCCTGGTAATCCTTCGTCTTTATTTTGTGCATATGTTGTTGGCTTCTGGTGAGAAATTTAATCGATAAAGCTGAACCTGAACTGAGTTTTAAAGTTTTAATGATATTTAAATTGTTATGGTTGCATTTGTTTCTGAAATTTTTAGTTTAGAATAAGAAGGGATGAATTTCCTTAATAAATCATGGTCTTATAGTGATGTGGATTGGTAGGAATTGTCAATATTTCGTAAGGCATGTTATTAAATGAAGAAAAACACATTGTTTTAGAAAACTACAAAAAGAGTTTAGAAAACTACAAAAAGACCTTTTAAGGTAAGTAGGTCAGCAGCATCTAAATTGAATCTTCTACATGATTTATGCTGTATGAATGTCCCAGTCTTGTCTACTATTTTCCTCAAACAATTGGCAATGCTTGACTCGGCTAAAATTGCTAACTAATAGCAGTTACATCAATGATTCTTCCAGGCTAATAAATTTAAAATTAAGATTTTTCAAATGAAAAACTCCGGTAATGACTTTTGTGAATGTCTGTGCATGAGCAAATGGGGCCAGTTGGGGTAAACAATGTCTTCCGTGCACAACTCATGGATTTCAACAAAACTTTCGTCACAGAATGAACTTCTGCTAATGTCTTAGCGCATGTTGTCGGGGGAGTTTGTGAATTGATATTTCTTGGCAGAATTATGTCCGTTTTTTACTTCATTATCTGTATTACATGTTTTGTGACAATTTTCAGTCACTTGTAAATGAATTTTATAACTACATTGAATAAGTCTATTGTTACTGACAACTTGAAACGTAATGAACAATTCAGTTGACCATGTCAACATGGTATGAAATTAATATTTAATTCATGTTAGATTTTTAATATTGAACAATTCTTATCAATCATAACTTAAAGCTACATGCCTCCAGACGAGTCAAAATAGTTCAATAAAATCAAACTTGAGAAAAATGTTCTAAAATTTTAGGAAATGTAAAAAAAAATTCAAGATTCAAGGAATGTTTTACATATTCCCTGTGATTAATGACTGATTTTTCAGTATTTACAACTATATTTCTACTGCGTTACTAACGCAGTAAGGGCTATTTATGCATATTTTGACCACTTTTTGGTAATTAACGTGGGTTGTAAGTGCCATTGAAAATGTGTAAATTGCTTCCTTTTGGTTACTTCATAATATTAATCATTCGGATACATTTTCAAATTTTTCATGAAAATTAGCATGAATCTGGCGTGCTGCTTTAAAGTGTACAAGCCCCTCTTATAGTCCTCAAGTTTTAAAGGAAAAACATAATTCTAAAACATAAGCAAGCAATTACACATTTATCAGTTCAATAGTTATTGGCTAATTGTATATAAATTATATTAAGATGCCAAAATCAATTACTGAAATTACTTCTGATTCTAGACTGATTCACTACCTTGAATACTTTCTGTCCCCAATGTCATACACTCGCAGCAACTGTCCTTACAACTCTTGCATGTTTCACTACAGTGATAGTGCATTTGGACACAAAGTCTCATTTAGTGGTCTCAGAATGTTACAAACTGATCTGCAACTTATTTCAACTTCATCATCTGTATTAAGACTACTCTTGTCTTAGGAATGTATTAGAGCTTCTCAATGAGCTTTTTGAGAATCTGAATAAGTTCAAAATTTGGGTTTTTTTAGTTTCTAAATGTGTATTTCAGAATGAGGTCTTATAAGCATTTCAATATGAGCTCTAAATGATTTTTTCAAAATGATCTCTACAACAGCATTTTAGAATGAGCTCTAAATAAAGTTACACAGGGTGCAAGACAGATTTTTGTAGCACCAGTGTAAACAGTAGATAATCCTGTCTTATATGCTAGAAATAAAGAAGTTCCACTGTGAACCTTACATTCTTTAATAGATCAGGTGAAGAACTTAAAATGGAAAATCTACAACGGATAATAAAGAAATTTACTCAGAATTAAATTGAATAATGATTTTTATGCGATTTTAGTGTTGCAATATTTTTCATTTTTGTGTTATTTAGCAAAATAAAAATTATCATTCTTGAAAAAAAGAGAAGTGTTAGGGAATGATCTTAAAATTTGCACACAAGTTATTGGTCCAGACTGACATCAAATCTGTGGAAAAAAATGTCCAGTGGCAGTCCCATAATGTAAAAAAGAGACCTCAGTGGAGTCCCTATAATAATGATTTTTTGTATATAACTGGTGTACTAAGTGCTACACAGAAAACCTGTGGCTTTTGTGACTCAAGCATTGTCAGATACCCACTGCCTAACCATTAACATAACATGTTATGTTATGTAACATGTTAAGCGGCCATGGGTATCTGACGATGTGACTCAAGTGATAAGGCTTTCTTGATTAGTGATAAACTTTTATGCAAATTTTTCATGAACTATTGTATAAGATTGATAAATTTAAGAAAATTTGTTTTTATTTTACCTGTAGATTTAAGTTAATGTACTTTTATTTTACTTGTAGATTTAAGTGTCATAAAGATTGTGTACATAGAGAAGCTCCAAGCTGCGGTCTTTCAGAAGAAATGGTCAACTTGGCCAATAAAACATACTTTGAAGGTAAGTACTTTATTGACTTTTATAACTGACTTCATGCTAGTTGTGAAAAATGTCTTGCCGATACCTCAAGGATAAAAGAGGGCTCATTTTTTCACTCTGACCTTATTCTATATAGTGTTAGTTGCTTGCCTTTAGTAATATGATATTGAAATACTTTCAATAAAGAATGAAAAATTGAAAATTCTGACACTTATTTAAAGGCACATAAAACCTCAGAAATGTTAAGATTTTCTTTCTGAATGAAGGGCTCACATGCGTTATGTTATGTTATAAAAATGGATAAAAAAAATGTGAGAAGCTTTTCACCTGAAGAAGAAGAAAAAAGCTGAATGAGAAATAATTTGTCATAAAAGTAGCAAAATGTAAACTCAGAGGTGTTTTGACTTTTATACCAAATACTAAAATCACTGTAACACAAAAAAGGTGACTCAGTATATGGTCAATGAGTAACTTTTTTGAATCTGTAACAGGATACCAAAGATAGTATGATTAAAAAGCAAGCATTTTAGGCCTTGTGAGTGTTTAAAGCAGGTAAAGTTCATTACACAGATGATATATCAGAGTAAAGGTAGTTGAAGAATTTAGGTAAAGGTTAATCCTTTGAATCTGGCTGTTCTTGTTGTCTTACTGAATACTGAAACTCTAAAACCAATTAAGGGGCATCTGTGGTCTAGTGGAATAGATCGCTGACTTTGGGTGCCGTTGCTTCAGGATATGATCGTGGCTGCATTATGTCAATCTTTGCTCACCCTTGTTGGTCTTTTATCATTGGCTTGTAACATCTTAAGGCCCAAGTCCTTGTAGCTTATGGTACAGAAAAAATTGTTTCTACGGCCTGAATTAATGCATGCATGCAGTCAATGCGAAAGTCAAAATTTTTTTCCAGCCACAAGAACTGGGATCCTTAGATTTATTTCCGGCCCTGATGATTTTTTTGCGGCCCGGACTCTGAAAGGTATTTTTTGTAGGGGTGGGGGAGGGATTATTGCCATAATTAACAAAAATATTCAGCAGATATGAATTATCAGACTCAACTATAAGATACTATGAAGAAAAAATACAGAAACATAATAAATATAACAGTTTTGCATATTTTAGGCCAAAAATTGTTTCAAACTGGCTGAAATTTTATTCGGACATGAGGACTGACTGTATCGAAATTTATCTCGGCCCTCCTGATTTTTAGTTGGCGAGGTCCGAGGACCGACAGACTTTCGCACAGACTGTGCATGGTCTCCATACTGTAACAGTAAAGCAGAAAAGTATATAACATTTACAGTGTCAGAACTACTTCCCAACAAAAATATTAACTTACATGTACATATTAACCATTCTATATCTGAAGAGGAACAAGTCCATCACACAATTACAGTAGGTTATAGGGTTTATGAAGATAAAATTTTAAACTATAAAGAGATTTCTTTGACTTGTACTTATAGTATTTGAAAATTTATTCAATTGAGTAATATTTTTTTATCGTATTATATGTGATTTAAATTACAAATAATGGGAAAAAATGTGGTTTAGTTTTGACTTGTGAATTTAATTATGACTTTGATTTTAATTTAATTGCCTAACTATTAAATGCTTACATTTAAGTGCCTAACTTTTTAAGTAAAATTATGTAGTTAAGAGTTAAGCAACATAGGTTTATATTCTAGGATGGAAATATGTTTGGTTTTTTTTTTCCTCAATAATAAGATTTTTATTTTATAGTATACCCTGAGAACCGGCCTTCTCATTCCTTTTTGAATCAATTAACCACCATGTTAAAGAAGCCAAAAAGGCGTAAGCTTTAAAGCACAGTGTGAGCAGTTTGTCTAGATATTGCTTGTGTGTGTTTTTAGCTCACCTGAGCTTGCTCAGGGTGAGCTTTTAGGATCGGTGAATGTCCGTCGTACGTCAGCCGTCGTACGTCCACAATTGCTTGTGAACACTCTAGCGGTCGCATTTTTGCCTCAATCATCATCAAACTTGGTCAGGATGCTTATCTAGTTGAAAGCTCGGATGAGTTTGAACATGGCTCATCTCGGATGAAAAACTAGGTCACAAGAGCTAAAAATAGAAAAACCTTGTGAACACTCTAGAGGTCACATTTTTGAACCAATCATCATCAAACTTGGTCAGAATGCTTGTCTAGTCAATTGCTTGGATGAGTTCGAACATGGGTCATCTCTGATGAAAAACTAGGTCACAGGAGCTAAAAATAGAAAAACCTTGTGAACACTCTAGTGGTCACATTTTTGACCCAATCATCATCAAACTTTGTCAGGATGCTTGTTTAGATAATAGTTCGGATGAGTTCGAATATGGGTCATCTCGGATGAAAAACTAGGTCACCGGAGCTATAAATAGAAAAACCTTGTTAACACTCTAGCGGTCACATTTTTGCATCAATCATCATCAAACTTGGTCAGGATGCTTATCTAGTTGATAGCTCGGATGAGTTCGAACATGGGTCATCTCGGATGAAAAAGTATGTCATAGGAGCTAAAAATAGAAAAACCTTGTTAACACTCTAGCAGTCACATTTTTGCATCAATCATCATCAAACTTGGTCAAGATGCTTGTCTAGGTGATAGCTCGGATGAGTTCGAACATGGGTCATGTCGGATGAAAAAGTAGGTCACCAGAGCTAAAAATAGAAAAACCTTGTTAACACTCTAGCGGTCATTTTTGCATCAGTCATCATCAAACTTTGTCAAGATGTTTGTCAGGGGATAGCTCGGATGAGTTTGAACATGGGTCATCTCGGATGAATAAGTAGGTCACAGGAGCTAAAAATAGAAAAACTTTGTTAACACTCTAGTGGTCACAATTTTGACTCAATTGTCATTAAACTTGGTCAGGAAACTTGTCTAGGTCATTGCTGGAAATAAATCGAACATGGGACATCTCGGATGAAAAACTAGGTCACAGGAGCTAAAAATAGAAAAATCTTGTTAACACTCTAGTGGCTACTGTTGTGATCCAAATATTCTGTTAATTGGTCTGAAAGTTTGTTTTGATGATTTCTAAGTCAAGATCGAACATGGGTCATCTTGGATGAAAAACTAGGTCACACCGCCCAAATATGAAAAACCTTGTTAACATTCTAGTGGTCACATTTTCGACTCAATTATCATCAAACTTGGTCAGGATGCTTGTCTAGGTAATTGCTTGGATGAGTTCGAAATCGCATGTGAAACTAGGTCACCGGAGCTAAAAATAGAAAAATCTTGTTAACACTCTAGTTGCTACTGTTTTGATCCAAGTATCCTGGAAATTGATCTGAAAGTTTGTTTTGATGATTTCTAGGTCAAGTTTGAATATGTGTCACCTGGGTAAAAAACTAGGTCGCACTGCTCAAATATGGATAATCCTTGTTAACACTGTAGTGGTCCCATTTTTGACTCACTTGTCATGAGACTTGGTCAGAATGCTTGTCTAGGTAATTGTTTGGATGAGTTTGATAAGTCAGGTGAGCGATCTAGGGCCATCATGGCCCTCTTGTTTGTACAACCTGTTGTGTGCTGGTGTGGGATTATTATGGTGAAAGTTGCATCATAGCTTATAGGTAAATCATAAGTACTATGCCTTATTATAAATAAACATTTTACATCAGATTTTATAAGCTTTTTTTTCATATACGTTGTAATGATATTTAGTACTCTTTATGTATATGTGTGTGTGTGTTTGTACTATTGCTTGTTGTAGGGATTCAGACAAGTTTTTCAAAAACATTGGAATCCAAGAATTATATTTAATAAGTTAAGCTAATATTAGCATTCATTTTCATATATGATATACTTGAAGGTTAATTACACATGTGTATATTTCTGTTTTAAAGGTGCCTCAAATCCGAGAAGAACGCCCGAGTTACCACATCACGGAAAGCATGTGTTGCCAGCATTTCCAGTGCCGGACTCGAGCTCCGCTTCGTCATCCAACTCATCAACACATTCCTCACCGATCCCACACGGCATGTCGTCGGGAACGTACACCTCACCTTCACCATATCCCTCACCTCATGTACACAATATACACTCATTCCAATTTCCAGGTAACTGACATCTGACTTTACTTTTATACCAGTTTGTTTTGTTCATATTTTACTTGTTAAGTGTAGTTTTGCTTTCTGTCTGAAATAATTTTCTTTGTTTGTATTTTACTTAGAAAACTTAATTTTGCTCCAATTCTGAAACATATTTCTTTAAGATCTTGACATGAGTTTCAATATAGTTGGTAATAGTTTACTTCTTTGATGTTGTTGATTTTGTTATAATTATACCCCCACCACAAAATGTGGGGGGGGGCTATAATGGATTCGCTTTGTCGCGTCGGTCGGTCGGTCGGTCCGTCCGTCCGTCTCCATTTTCGTGTCCGCTCTATAACTCCTATACCACTTGAAGGATTTTCTTCAAACTTGGCTCAAATGTTCACTTCAGCAAGGGGATGTGCAGAACCCATGTTGCCCATGTGTCAGCTCAAGGTCAAGGTCACAATTGAAGGTCAAATATCAAACACAATCATATATTAGACAGTATGTTGTGTCCGCTCTGTAGATCCTACAATAATTGAAAGATTTTCTTCAAACTTGGCTAAAATGTTCACCTCAACAAGGGAATGTGCAGAACTCATGTTGCCCATGTGTCATTTTAAGGTCAAGGTCACAATTGAAGGTCAAATATCAAACAATCAAATATTACACAATATGTCGTGTCCGCTCTGTAAGTCCTACACTAATTGAAAGATTTTCTTCAAACTTGGCTCAAATGTTCATTTCAACAATGGGATGTGCAGAACCCATGTTGCCCATGTGTCAGCTCAAGGTCAAGGTCACAATTGAAGGTCAAATATCAAACAATCAAATATTACACAGTATGTCGTGTCTGCTCTGTAAGTCCTACACTTATTGAAAGATTTTCTTCAAACTTGGCTCAAATGTTCACCTCAACAAGGTTATGTGCAGAACCTATGTCACTCTTTTGCCGGCTTAAGGTCAAGGTCACACTTGAAGGTAAAAAATTGACTTAGAAAATGTTCTTTAATTTTAACATATATCTGAATATTTCTGAATCTAGAAAAGGTATTTGCTTGAAACTTAAAATATAAATGAAGTGTCACAATTGGTCAAGTTTCATAACTCTGTATTGCATTTTAACAAAGTTATGCCCCTTTTTATTCTTCAAATTTACATACAATCACATATTAGACAATATGTTGTGTCCGCTCTATAAATCCTTTACTAATGGAAGAATTTTCTTCAAACTTTTTTCAAATGTTCACCTAAACAAGGTTATGTGCAGAATCCATGTCACCTTTGTGCAGGCTAAAGGTCAAGGTCAGACTTGAAGGTCAAAAATTGACTTAGAAAATGTTCTTAGATTAAAACATGTTCTTGAAATTATTTCGGAAACTAGCATAGGTATTTGCTTGAAACTTAAAAGATATATGAGGTGTCACAATTACGATATGCAGGTCAAGTTTCATAACTCTGTATTGCATTTTGACAAAGTTATCCCCCTTTTTAAGTCTTTAAATTTACATACAATCAATACTAGACAGTATGTTGTGTCCGCTCTATAAATTCTATACTAATGGAAGGATTTTCTTCAAACTTTACTCAAATGTTTCTCTCCAATTGGGCGATGTGCAGAACCCATCATACCCTTGTGCCAGCTGAAGGTCAAGGCCACACTTGAAGGTCAAAATTGACTTATAAAAGTTTAGTATATTGGGAAAATGAAAGGTTATTTGTAACTGTTTCGAACATGATTTGATAATAGATATTTTTACTATTACCTGTACAATTAGTCTTTTTTTCACCAGAGATAATTTCTTTTTATGTATTTGTGCCACTTAAGTTATTCCCTTAACCACCTTTCCAAGTTGTCTTCTGTCAAGGACATTGGTGGGGGTATGAATCGCATTCAGCGATAGTTCTAGTTTAGAATTGAGTATTTTTGCATCCACAAAAGGTTTGGTCATAAAAAACTTAAGATGTCTCAGGTTGACTCTTTTAAAATTATGTTCCTTGAAATTTTATTTTAAAAAATGCCAGCATAAAGTCAACAGTTGTCTAACAGTTCTTAACTTCTTACGTTAAACTTGCTTTTTCATATAGCCAATTCATATATTGGCCAGCGTTTAGTGTGTAGATATTGTGATAGGACACTGCTGGGTTTGAGAGTGATAAGGTCAAAGTAACTAAGACTTAAAGAGATTGAAAAAAAAAACAACCAAAAAGAAAAAAAAAGATCTAAATTGTTTCTTAATCATTTAAAATTTGTAAGACAATTGTGACATTTTCTCATAAAGTGTTGTATTGAAAGTTATTTTTGTTATCCTCGCAGATACGTTATTATCCGAGAGTAATACAGATGTAACACAAACAGAGCCAGTCTTCTCTACGGACTGGGATAAGGATGTGTAAGTTTATTATCTTTACTTTATCAAGTTTAGGACATGTTAGAATTGTGGACAAAGATGTGTATATTTATTTCACTTTCTTTGTTACTAAATTTAGACATCTTTTAAATTTGGAATTTTAAATCATTTCTTTTCATTATGAAGTTGAGAAATAAATGTTGTCCAGAATTTAACAAATGTTGGCTTTTCCAAACTTATTCCCAGGTATAAACAAACTCTTACCCTTATAACTTCACAGAGCACTACCGTTGAACCTGTTTCACTAATTTTTTGAAGCTTTAATTGTAAATGTTTGTTTGTTTACCTGGATAAGCTTGGAAAAACCCAAACTATTTTTGTATACATTGCTTGCAATGTATACAGAGTTATAGCTGTATTTCAGATTTAGTACACCTAACCTGTTTTGCTGAACAACATCCACCTTTGGATGAAACCTCGATAAAAGTAGATCCTCATTTTGCAGGATTGTCACATTAAGATCACTTTTTATTAATATACTGTTTGCATAGTGGTCAATAAGCTTTGAAAGTTCAAAACTATGCACTTTCAGTTCAAATAAACATTTTCTAAACATGAAAGCCAAAAATATGAAAATTTCTATTGTATTCATAAAAGCATTGTGTAAACCTACGCTTCAAACTTCGTATTCACGCATGCGCGTGCAAGAATGAATGAATTACGACAGACTCTGTATAAAAATATGTCCAACATCCAAAATTAATATTAAATCAAACAAGTAAACCTTATTTACTTTTAAATATAGACTTGCATACTTTTTCTATTTCAAAATGTTTTAGAAAACGAGCATATACAGATATATATGTTTTATTTAGTGTTATGTAACATTGTAAGCGTCTGTATGAATGGATTAAAGTTTACGTTCTGAAAACGTATTGTCATATAATTGCAAATAATAGAACCCTATCAACGTGGTGGCATCGGAAGAGTATGCAATTATTTGTTTCACACCTGCAGTGTAAAGTATTTCTGCCGCTTTAGTGAAATATATCGTCCAAAAGCCATTTTCGGGAAGGGGAAGATTCGTACTCAATATTATTCGAACTAAGGATTTGTACTCAATATTATTCGAATTTAGCCTTCGTAATCAGTATTATTCAAACTGACAATCATGGCAGATATGTTTAGACCCCCTGGACATTTAGATGTTGAAAATGGTAACATATCACATAACTTTATCAAATGGAAGCGCCAATGGAAATTTACTTTGCCAGTGTTGACTGTGGAAATGCTGAGAAAGATGAAAAGATACAAGTAAATATCCTATTACACTGTGCTGGACCCAAAGTTATCAATTTACACGGGCAAATGCAGAACATAAACTGAAAGTGAAAAAATTATTTGACAAAATAGAAAGCTATTGCAATCCTAGAAAAAAATGAAGTGCTAGAATCACACAGATTTTGGGTAACAAATCCAGATGAATATTCATCATTTGACAGTTTTCTTACAGAGTTTTGAAAGAATGTTGAGTCCAGAAATATATTTTGAAATATGTTATTTACAATCAAATCACTCAGTCAGGCTGAGCCACCCTTAACATTTTTAGTCCCTTACCGGTTTACCGGAGGGGACTTTAGGTTTACCCTCCGTCCGTCTGTCCGTCCGTCCGTCAGTCCGTCCGTCCACAAAACTGGATCCCGCGATAACGCAAAAAGTACTGAAAATATTTTAATGAAACTTGATATATGGATAGATGGCAGTATGGAGATTATGCACGTTTTTTTCTTTTCTTCCTATGTTGAAAATTCTGGTTGCTATGGCAACAAATTGACTGAAAATATGACAAATTTTACACATAACCTGGATCCCGCGATAACGCAAAAAGTACTGAAAATATTTTTATGAAACTTGATATATGGATAGATGGCAGTATGGAGATTATGCAAGTCTTTTTCTTTTCTTCCTATGTTGAAAATTCTGGTTGCTATGGCAACAAATAGACTGAAAATATGGCAAATTTTACACATAACCTGGATCCAGTGATAACACAAAAAGTACTGAAAATATGTTTATGAAACTTGACATATGCAGTGATTTTTTTACAAACTCATCAGTGTGGGTCCTAGGACTCGCTGGGTTATAATTCTATGAGTCTCAAAATTTAGCAGAAAAATCCAAGTTACAAGGCTTAATATTGCTTTAGTGATATGAAAGGTATATTAACAATGGAATGAAGAAAAAATGAATTTGATTTCTACATTAATTACAATGCTTCTGATACTGAAACTATTCAAAACTGTCAAATAGTTTAAATAAGTTTATTTCCATTAGTTTTAGATTAATCAAAAGTTATTACCAAATTCCTGTAAGACAGGACTCCCAACTCAGAAAAAGTATGCATCCAAAAGATGCACATTTTTTGAAACTTTGCATCCACAGCAAATTCAATGAGTCCTGGACTCAGGATGCAGAGGTAAAAAAATCACTGCATATGGGTAGATGGCAGTATGTAAATTATGCACATCTTTTTCTTATCTTCCTATTTTGAAAATTCTGGTTGCTATGGCAACAAATAGACTGAATTTCAAGATTTCTGATTCTAGTTTTTAAGTTTTTTCACTATAAGTTCTTTATTTTTTAAGGTATTTTCTTCAAACTTTAAATATAAGTTGCTTGTCATCAACCACATCATATGTGACAAGGTTTACAACTCTAACACAAAATTTATCAGAATTACCTCCCTTGAACTTAAAATTTTTTTAGTCCCCTACCAGTTTACCGGAGGGGACTTTAGGTTTACCCTCCGTCCGTCTGTCCGTCTGTCTGTCTGTCTGCCTGTCCGTCAGTCCACAAAACTGGATCCCGCGATAACGCAAAAAGTACTGAAAATATTTTAATGAAACTTGATATATGGATAGATGGCAGTATGGAGATTATGCACGTTTTTTTCTTTTCTTCCTATGTTGAAAATTCTGGTTGCTATGGCAACAAATTGACTGAAAATATGACAAATTTTACACATAACCTGGATCCCGCGATAACGCAAAAAGTACTGAAAATATTTTTATGAAACTTGATATATGGATAGATGGCAGTATGGAGATTATGCACGTCTTTTTCTTTTCTTCCTATGTTGAAAATTCTGGTTGCTATGGCAACAAATAGACTGAAAATATGGCAAATTTTACACATAACCTGGATCCAGTGATAACACAAAAAGTACTGAAAATATGTTTATGAAACTTGACATGATATGGGTAGATGGCAGTATGTAAATTATGCAAATTTTTTTCTTATCTTCCTATGTTGAAAATTCTGGTTGCTATGGCAACAAATAGACTGAATTTCAAGATTTCTGATTCTAGTTTTTAAGTTTTTTCACTATAAGTTCTTTATTTTTTAAGGTATTTTCTTCAAACTTTAAATATAACTTGCTTGTCATCAACCACATCATATGTGACAAGGTTTACCACTCTAACACAAAATTTATCAGAATTACCTCCCTTGAACTTAAAATTTTCATGAAAAAAAAACATTGTTGTTTTTTTTATTAATAACTTCTTTTTCTGAATGTATCTACTTCAAACTTCATATAAATGTTTCTTATTATCACTCAACATTTGTGAGTGTTCAATACTCTAGCAAGACTATTTCCAGAATTATGCCCCTTTTGAACTTAGACTTTTTTTTTGAGAAATTGGTAATTTTTACTCAAACTTCTTCAATCATGATAGGATTTTAAAAATGTTATATTTTGATAACAGGGATGTTTAAAAAATAACTTTAGAGTGTCCTTCAGTCTGTCTGTCTGTCTGTACATAAAAACTGTTTCCTGTGATCACTTTTAAAGAACTTTTTCAACAAATTTACTTAAAATAGGAACATAAGTGAATGGCCAATGGCCCTTCAGAATGTTGCTTGGGCTCTTACCGGTAGGGGACTTATGGATTGCTTGCAATACTATGATAATTGCTTGTTTTCCATAACTCCTTAGACTATTGATATATATAAGGTAAAATCATTAGCCATATATGAGCTTATATGATTGCATGGGCAGTTAAATTAAAGCCATTAGTAAAAAAAAGGGTTGACCTGGGATAACCAAAGTGAAGAGTGAAATATGACACTCAACACAGGTACATTCTAAATATTTTGATTGATGTTTATGATCAGATTTAGCACAAATAGTAATTTAAATTCCCCTGATACCACAAATATGAATTTATTTAGAGTCCTGCATGAAGATCTTTTTATGATGAAATCTTAATTGAAAAACCAGGTTTAACTGAATAATTATAAAATTCCTTGCCACAATGACTAGAAGGTACATAAAGCCAGTCAAAAAAAATATTTCTATCCATATTCATCATTCCTGGACCTCCATCCATTTGATGAATTTCTCCAACTGGTAAATTTTTCATCTTATTATGTTCTGTTTGTTAGTATAAAAGATTTTTTATGTTTATATACAGCTAGAATAGTCTGTAATGGCTAAGATAGACAGATAAGAACAAACTATTTAGTAAACATGAGTTACATCCCTTCAAATGGAGATAAAGATGAAACCCATAAGAAATTGCCATGTCTGACAGACAACAAAATTATAAAATTCTGCAGGCTCAGTTTAATTAGGCCCATTAGGAGGTAGTGGTAATAACTGTGGGTCAAAAATGAAATGATATCATTTTCAAGGGACGTTTCTGATATGATTTACTTTAAATAATGGGTCATTATCAATGAATGTTTCTTTAACTTCTATGCCCATGTGTAATAGATTATTGACATTGCCAGCTAGATAGCTCAGCTGAATGAGTCAGTACAGCCCACATACATGTATAATATTCTGATTCAGGTTTGATTCCGGTCAAACTGCACATTTTTCTCACCCTGTGATATTTTCACCCTGTTACTTTTAGGGTCCAATACTAGTATATGTTTATGATGGTTACATAACTGAATCATAAGTCAATTCACTTTGTTACTTAAGTGTGCCAATGAAAAAGGAAAAATTTTTAATATTGCTGTGGATTATGTCAATGCATAGAACTATGAGACTGAAAATATTTAAGCTGTTAGAGCTGCTGTATGGTATTCCAAGGGTTCTGGGTTTTTGGTAGTGCTGAGGTATGGTATTCTGAGTGTCTCTGGTTTGAGTTTTAGTCAGGCTGCATTTCATTTTCCCACTCTTTGAAATTGATAAATATTTTCAGCTCATTATTGGCTGGACTGCATATATTAATGATTTATTTGTATTAAATCAATATTGTTAAATATTTGGTTATTGTCTATATAAATTATGTGACTTTATTTTTGATAAGGCATTGTAACAGTACTACTTCTTAATTTGACCTTTTTTGTATTAGAGGGAGAAGCCCTTAATTAACTACTTACCAGTAAGTTTTATTGTACACGATGATGATAGCTTGAAAGGATTTAGCTAAAAAGATACTACATGAATCATTTTTTTTTCCTATTGGATTGTAAAAATATTTATTGATTGTCAAAAATCTATATGAGTTCTCCTCGGTGACATTAAACAGTCCCAGCTGGCCATACATGCAGGACTTTGCAGACCATGAGACAGGGTGGTCTGTACCAAGACAAATACGATATCCACACATGGTGGACAGGACAGACGGTGATGTTCAGATCCCCCACTCAGAAAGGAAGTTACTACACTCAAGGTCCTGGTCTTCAATTACTTCATTTGCTTACTTGGAGTAAAGGTGCCGGAAACAATAGTATGGTATCACAAAAAGCACAGACTGTGATAAAAATCAAACCAAAAAAAGATACTATAAACTGATTTCATAGAATATATAAAAGAAATTTATTAATTCTTTAAGTTTATACAACATGTATACATGTAGTTAACATAAAAAAAAGATACTGAGTATTTAATTTTGATATATAGCATATTAACACACATAAAGTGCATTATGCCATATAAATTTCAACTTAGTGCTTAAATACTTTCTGATGCACTCAGTTAGCAAACATGATTTACTAATCTTTGGATTCCCACACTCCTCTCCACCTAGCTCCAATGAGATCCACTTGGTTGACCATAACATGTACCATACCTCATATTGTTATACCCCCGCACAACAAAGTTGTAAGGGGGGTATACTGGAATCAGCTTGTCCGTCCGTCCGTCCGTCCGGCTGTCCGTCCGTCCGGCCGTCCGGCCGTCCGTCGGTTTTTTCTTGTCCGCCCAATAACTTAAGATTCCTTTGACCCTTAGTCTTCATATTTGGCATGGAGGTTAGTCATGATTAGTAGATGACCCCTATTGATTTTGAGGTCACTAGGTCAAAGGTCAAGGTCACAGGGGCCTTGACTTCAAAAAGCTTGTCCGCCCAATAACTTAAGATTCCTTTGACCCACAGTCGTCATATTTGGCATGGAGGTTAGTCATGATTAGTAGATGACCCCTATTGATTTTGAGGTCACTAGGTCAAAGGTCAAGGTCACAGGGGCCTTGACTTCAAAAAGCTTGTCCGCCCAATAACTTAAGATTCCTTTGACCTACAGTCGTCATATTTGGCATGGAGGTTAGTCATGATAAGTAGATGACCCCTATTGATTTTGAGGTCACTAGGTCAAAGGTCAAGATCACAGGGGCCTTGACTTCAAAAAGCTTTGTCCGCCCAATAACTTAAGATTCCTTTGACCTACAGTTGTCATATTTGGCATGGAGGTTAGTCATGATTAGTAGATGACCCCTATTGATTTTAAGGTCACTAGATCAAAGGTCAAGGTCACAGGGGCCTTGACTTCAAAAAGCTTGTCCGCCCAAAACTTAAGATTCCTTTGACCTACAGTAGTCATATTTGGCAATGAGGTTAGTCATGATTAGTAGATGACTCCTATTGATTTTGAGGTCACTAGGTCAAAGGTCAAGGTCACAGGGCCTTGACTTCAAAAAGCTTTGTCCGCCCAATAACTTAGATTCCTTTGACCTACAGTCGTCATATTTGGCATGGAGGTTAGTCATGATTAGTAGATGACCCCTATTGATTTTGAGGTCACTAGGTCAAAGGTCAAGGTCACAGGGGCCTTGATTTCAAAAAGCTTGTCCGCCCAATAACTTAAGATTCCTTTGACCCACAGTCGTCATATTTGGCATGGAGGTTAGTCATGATTAGTAGATGACCCCTATTGATTTTGAGGTCACCAGGTCAAAGGTCAAGGTCACAGGGGCCTTGACTTCAAAAAGCTTGTCCGCCAATAACTTAAGATTCCTTTGACCCACAGTCGTCATATTTGGCATGGAGGTTAGTCATGATTAGTAGATGACCCCTATTGACTTTGAGGTCACCAGGTCAAAGGTCAAGGTCACAGGGGTCTTGACTTCAAAAAGCTTGTCCGCCCTATAACTTAAGATTCCTTTGACCCACAGTCTTCATATTTGGCATTGAGGTTAGTCGTGATTAGTAGATGACCCCTATTGACTTTGAGGTCACCAGGTCAAAGGTCAAGGTCAC